CAGCACTGTTTTGGAATCCCACACTGGGTACCACACCTGTCCACCTTTAAGAAGCATCAGCTCAGCAATTTCACATTATCCCAATGATAGCTTGTTCTAGTGCCACAAACTCTTCATACTTGTAGTTTTAAGAATAATCTTCACCACACAGTTGAAAGAGTAAATATTTACCTTTGTGGCGACAAAACCTATTAGAATTTTAATTTGGAAAAATCAAACCCTTAACACCCGTAAGGCAAAAACTTTATTTCCATTTCTGTCTGTATTATCAAGTATGATCTGCCCTAAGAACAAAACAATCTCTTTGTTCCCGAATACCAACACATCTGGCGTTTAATAAACCACCAACACAGGCTTTCAAATTAAATCAAGAGTCTATTTGTCAAAGAGAATCTGGCAGAGCAGACTTCGTATCATACAAGGCAGCTTTAAACTGTTGGGTTTTCTTTCCTATTTATTGTGAACTTTCTTCGATTAAAATACTTAGAATGATGTTGATAAACTGAGTTTCGTCTACAACAGGAATCAGAGTTAATTACACCTTTTAAGCCAGAGGATACAGGAAGAAAAATAACAACAGGAACACAGTCTGTGTTTTCATTTTTAATTGCTCACGAAACAGAGAAGCAAGTCTCCAGCAGGTAATGAAGTCTCTGAGTTCTTCCCTAACAAGCCAACTGGTCTCCTTGGTAACGCTGCAAGAGCCCCAGCCCAGGAGGTCTCAGAGGAACAGAAGCTCCTTGAGTCCTAAATAAGACCTTGGCCCCTGAAGAAACTATAGCACTGCCATGTTTACTGCCTGTTGGAAGCATCTACCCAAGACACTGCTCTGGGAGCAAGGAGCCTGGACATTAACTGCGGTCCATGGGGCAGGCCTGTGTTCAGATCAGGGCCACAGATACTCCACATGCCAGCCACCTCACAGTGAACGGCAGAAGCTTAATGAAACAGAAAATCATATCTCAGCCTCTTTTTTACAATTTTCACGCTACTTGCCAAAAACACCTTTCTTACTGCAGAAATTGTGAGGTTTACGTATCATGTTTGCTGTTGCTTGACTAGAGGTCATAGGAGCACGTGGAAGGAACATTTCTTCTGGCTCTGTCAACTTCATATTTATGGTTCAGAGTCATCAAGAATAAAAAGTGGTTAAAAATGCTGACCTACTCTAAGTGGTGTGATAAGTGACTAAGAAAAATGATTATAAACTCCTGCAAGACGGTAGAGGGTGTAATAAATATGTTTCATGGAACAATTAATTATTATGTTATTCATATAGATTGCTCTGTCACTAGTTAATACGTAGTTGGACACCATCAAAAGGAAGTAAATTCTAAATTGAACTGAAAGTGATTCCTTTTGCAACTGTAATAACCAATATCATGTCTGATGTATTGCTTACTTTGCCCAACTGCTGAGCCCCCGGGTGTGGAGGGTTGGAGGGTGGAGGGACAGAAGATGAGTCCTTGGTTCTGTCTCGCACATGCTCCTTTCCCTCTCAGTCCACCATGGACCCCTGGACTGCTTCCAGTCTGACGAGAGATGTGCCAGTGGGAAGTGCTTCATCGCCTTCATGGGTTGGTGATGCGCAGCTATGAGTCTGGCCCAGACGGCAGACAATGCAGGGAACCCTCTGACCCGGCCTTCACTCCAGCTGCCCTGGCTCTCTCCTTATCTCAGGGCAGGAGCACGGGCAGGGCGTGCGTGAGGCGATGATCTTCTTATTTATTAGAACTGAAAGAGCACAGCCAACAAAAGGAGGCAGAGGAAGCCCTCTTCCATTTTGTCTCATTTATAGTAAGTCTGGATTGTAGCAAAGGCACGCACAGGCTGTTCTCAAAGCCACATAATTGCTGGCACATCCCTCTCTACGTATTCTCAATAACCAAATGTGTGTGCATGCATGTGTATAATTTTTGTGTGTATACATATTCGCAACATATTGTGTGATATATATGTAGTATCTATATATCATCTGCAGAATCAGTTTCCGTCTTCCCATCACCGTGTGCTTGTAGCTGTCTACTACAGAGCACTTAGCAAGTCTCTCCCACTCCAAGATACTTGTCTATAATCCCTTTGTCTCCTTCACTGCAATAGGATGACCTGGAGAAGAGCTCTTAGTTTTCTGCACATAGTAGGTGATTAATATGAGTTTTAGAGGCAGTATGTTTAGTGCTTAGGCATTTTGCCTCTGGAGACAAAAGACTTGAGTTCTAATCCCAGCTTTGCCACTCATTAGCTGTTTATTTTCAGGAAAAACTCTTGAATTTCCTAAGTCAATTTCCTTTTTCTGGAAAATAGGTTGATAGTAGTACCCACCTAACTGGGCTATTGTGGAGATTCAATAATATAATGTATAAATAGTATTCAGCACAGTGTTTGGATCATAGTAAGTGTTGAATAAAGCTTAGCTGTATAATTCATTGAACTGAATTTTTGCAGAAAATTTTTTTATCTTTTTGGAGTTCCTTCAGATAGTAAGTAAACAATGGTATATAGCCAAATATAAAAGGCATCATAAATTTTTTGGACAAAATTGACTTATGTTATTTTCAGGTTCTCGTAATAATTTTTACTTTTTTTTTTTGCTGAGGAAGATTGGCCCTGAGCTAACATTTGTGCCTATCTTCCTCTATTTTATATGTGGGATGCTGCCACAGCACAGCTTGATAAGCAGTGTGTAGGTCCGTGCCTGGGATCTGAACCTGTGAACCCTGGGCTGCTGGAGCAGCACACACGAACTTAACCACTACACCACCGGGCTGGCCCCAATAATTTTTACTTTTAATATGAGAATTCCCAACTTCACTGATAAAAGTTTTGGCTTTTATCCTAGCCAGCTCTAGGACATTGGAACTATCTTTACGATAATATGCAATACTGGTTTGCCTTCAACACTGTCCCTAAAACTTAAAGAGATGGATCTTAGCGTCCCAGAGATCCTAAGACCAGTAGAGCAGGGGACTGATGAAAATAGCATCTTGAATGTGATTTTTGAGTTCTATATCCCAACTTCTCTCCATCAAAAGTCATTATCAAAAGATCCTTCTCTTTCCTATCAAGGATCAGGACAGACAGTTCAGATGGATAAATTCACTGCTAGAAAAAATAATAGCTCACTTTACTGTAGCAACATCTTTGGATACAAAGAACAGCACAGGTATTTACTCTTCAAAGAGGTTTTTAAAAAGTTGCATCTGTGTGTATATCTTTAGCTAGCTCCTCAAGCCTTTTCCAAACTGGGATTAACCTTTCTTGGACTTTGCACATTTTGAGCATCTGAGTTTGAACAAATGTTTGAGGGCAGAGATTATATTTTATTCACCTTTGTACTCCTAGTTCCTAGTGTATCATCCAATATATGCAATAAATAGTTCCTGATTAAAAATATACAAGACTATACGTTGCATTGAAAGGGCTGCAGAATTCGGTTGTGTTGGAATGTTAATTTTTACCAAAGAGATTAAAATAAAAATTATTAAAAATTATCTGCACTTGCACGGAATCTGTTTTTTTGAGAACATTTTTAGTATCTGAAAAAGATAGATTGGATTATCTTTCTTTTGAGAATCAATTTTTGTTAATTATCAGTGAGTATTTAATCCTTCATTATTGATGAAATTCTATACTTTCTTGTTCTTATGTCTTTAACATCTGGCATTTTTTCTGACTTCCTGTCTCAGTGTGAATTCATTGTGTGTTTTATGTATATTACATGTAAAGCACAGTTCTATGACCCTCATTTTCATGTCCAAATCAGTGAGTAGCAGTTGATACTCTCTCAAACTCTATTGTTATGGCTTATTTGATGACGAGAAATTAGAATTATGTAAGCATTTACTTTATATTGGAATGGATCAAGTAGCCAATCTTGTTGATTGATTTCCTTTGTCTAAAAAAAGACATTTGAAAAAGCCAGAATTGACTGGAATAGAAAATCTATTTGAGGGCTCTCAGTCCAGGCATTCATTTTTTCTCTAGTCAAATATTTATGTTTTTCTCAAGCAATAAATTTAGCTTCTGAGATGGTTTAAAAAGTTTAGTTTTAATTTTCTTTGTTAGGTTTTTAGGTTATTATCAAAAGTCTTTCTTTGTTCTGTCATCCTGTCTCCTCTCTAAGACCATATCTGTCCCAGCTCTGGATGCTGGCTGACGGCCCAGGTGCTGAGTACAGGCCAGGTGGATCCATGAACCCTGGAATGCCAGGTCCTACCCATGCCAAAAGCTAATCAACTGGATGGAGAGAGGCTTTCATTCATCTTCCAATCGTGCTTTATTGGAAATAAATGCATCCTCAAGTTGCAACGGCTTGTACAATGCAACTATTTTATGGGATCTGGTAGGAATTCTTTCGGCACTGAAGTTTTCAAAAGATCTACTAAAATTGAGATCAATGACTCCCTTGCATGCAATGATTTTGTGAATGACAAAAAAAGGTCTCCAAAGAACCATGTTAAAAATCCTGGGAGTAATTCATTTATGATATAGGATTTAATATCTGAAACAATATCACAGATAAAAGTTCTCCAGGCCAACCTATTCACGCTGCTGAACTATTTTATCAGAACAAAGTATGCCTATTGTCTTTGATAACATACTTCTGACTCAGAGGCCAAGAAAGTTCAGAAAGGGCCCTAAAGACATAAGCAGGAATTAGGTTTGCAGCTGGGAAGCTTCATTTATAGAAGTCCTACAAAGACTGGCTTCAACTGGCCATTATAGATAAGATGGTTCCCAGGGAGACGGATATTCTCAGACCATGAGAGAGTAGGTTCAGGGATGCTGTTTGACTTTGGACAATTTCAAACCTCTTTGCAGCAAATTGAATTCCTTGGATATCCTTGTAAATCAATTTAATCTTTCTGAGGGGATATCCTGGACCTATTTCAAACCTGTGCTCTTCGGCTGTGGTCATCATTAAGGCTGACCCTGAATGAGGGCTACCTCCAAGGAGCAGCTGGCCGTACTGTGTCTGGGTCGATGTTGGGCTCCCTTACCTGATACAGGTTGGCGAGGTGGTGGTTAGTTTTGATCAAAAATGGCTGGTTCACCCCTGGGTGGTCAACATCGTGTGCGGCCGCAGCCAGCAGTCCGAGCATGATGTCCAGAGGTGTCAGGAAGCTGGCGAGCTGTTAGAAAAATCAAATGGGGAGATTGATTGGTGTGTTTTCACAGATAGGTTAGCATTTGTCTTGGCTAAATCAAAGCAAATGAATCATCATAGTGTTGTTCAGGCCTTTCACCCAGAACTTTACTCTCTGAAGCAGTCAGTGAGGTGATATTCACACGGAATCACAGGATAAAAGAAAGGACTGTGTGGAAAGTAATTAAGCTGCTCAGATTGTGTATATCCTTCAGTCCTCTTCTGACTGCCGCTCTGTTCTGTTTTGTTGTAGGGGTGTTGCTTGTGGGCAGCACTGCTCTACGGCGGGAGGGGAGAAGGCAGAGCCTGGATACCCTTACCTCTAGAGAAAGCTATGAATCAAGGAAAAAGTTGAAGCCAAAGTGATGGACATATTAAAAAATCATTTGTGTATCTCAACCATCCACTATAGCCTTGCCACTTTTTTGAATATGAAATGAAGAGTTGGCTGAATTGCAAAATTTGTGTATGCCTCAATGTGTAATAAGTAGTGGGTGAACGTGTGAGGCTGTCAGTTTTCTGGTTAGCTGGGAAGACGAGCAGGAGGGTGGGGGTCCAGCACTGACTTCAAATACACAACTGTGTGATACATGACAACTTGCAGACCACTTAGAGATTCAAAACAAAACCTTTACTGTCTTTGGGATATTTGATAGGAAGGAGGCATCTACTCAGTTTTGTCATGGGAATGCCTGCCTGTCATCCATATATTTAGTGATTGATGTTAAAACTGATTGAACTAAACAGAGTCTTGGACTGCGATATCATTTTCCCAAAACCTTAAGAAAGCTCATCCTGTATGTTACACCAACTAAGTTTTGCGTGGCTAAGAAATGCCTTGATTTTGAGTAACAAGCATTATTATGATGTTTTTCATTTTGGATTGGTTTATCACATCAGAACGTGCTTGCTAAGAGGTCTTTGGTGTTCATAAGTTTTTTCTCGGGCCTGAATCAGGCTGTCCAGTTGCCTTCGTAGGAAATGGAGCTTGACTCTTGAGGAGTTTTGATTCTATTTGTTGATCAAAGACCATGAGATGGGCCGGCCCAGTGGGTTAGCGGTTAACTGCGCGCGCTCCGCTACTGGCGGCCCGGGTTCGGATCCCAGGCGTGCACTGACGCACCGCTTCTCCGGCCGTGCTGAGGCCGCGTCCCACATACAGCAACTAGAAGGATGTACAGCTATAACATACAACTATCTACTGGGGCTTTAGGGGGGAAAAAAAAGGAGGAGGATTGGCAATAGATGTTAGCTCAGAGCCGGTCTTCCTCAGCAAAAAGAGGAGGATTCGCATGGATGTTAGCTCAGGGCTGATCTTCCTCAAACACACACACACACACACACACACACACACACACACACAAACAAAAAACAAAGACCTTGAGATGGGAGACTTTTCCCAGAGAACTTCAGTGCTGGTACCATTTGTGGCAAAGGTCCAAGGCAACCTAGTTAGTTCTGGGACTTTTGAAGGTATCTGAGATGTAGGTTGCCATGGAGAGGGTTGTTTCTGTCCTAATGCAGCCTGGAAAATGTAAAAATTGTGAAAGGAAACCTCAGAAAGTTTGCCTCCTCTTTCATGGGTATTATACGATTTTCAGAGCTGATGCTGGGACTTAAATATAAACAATCTGTATTCATGTTGTGAATGACCCACACGTAACACAGTTACTCTGATGTGTTGGGTGATTCGGGACCTCGCAGGTGGTTTACTTGCATTTCCAGATGGCTGGGGGGGTGGCTGGGTCTTGCCTTACCTTTGGCTCCTTCAGGTAGCAGTGCATGGCCTGGGTGACATCGGCCGCGTGGACAGCATTGTGATATGGATTTTGGCTGTGGTAATCTTCTTGAACCATGACTAGGAGGTAAATAGATAACTTAATCAGCTAACTCCCAAACAGGAAGGGCGTACTCACTCAGACTGAGGGAGGGTCCTTTTTGCTTAACAGTAGCAGTGTCTCCAAAGTGTGCAGCCTGGGGACACTTTAAAAATGAACATGGTTTGCAAGCTTGGCAGCTCCTCTGGGCTGTATTGAGTGGAGGAGGTGAGGTGGACGGAGAAAGGCTAAAAGGATTGGTGAGGCCCTGGGGATTCCTCACCACCTTCATAAATCACCCCTTTCTGGCATTCGTGAAGGCTTTCCTTCACAGGAAAAGTAAATATGTAGGAAAAAGACAACTTCATTTCACACTATAGTTTAATGATTTGTTTGCTGCTGTTTATGAATAATATGCCATAAAAGAGACTTCCTTTTAAAGAGCCCTAGTAGTGTCAGACTCCTGATATCCGAAGATTGGTTCATCACCTGAACAACAAATACTGACTGAAGCAAATCTGGGGCTTCCTCAGGCGGAAACTCTAAGTGCTGTGTTGATCCCGCTGAGGACTCCCGGGTTTTATACTTACCTTATTCAGACAAAGTTATCATCTTTCACGCCCTTCTAAACTAAGGACCTGAGTGCTCTTGGAACCAAGTAGAGACATAAGCAAAGCAATTTTGGTTTGCTATTTACAGAAAACACTAGCCTGTTTCATCTAATAACTAAGGTAATACTTAGGATGCGATACAGTGAGTGTGTATAGAATGTCCAGGTTTGCAAATGTGGCCACATTTTCTCTGCCCATACTACGAGTTTGGCTTTGGATCTGGGTGTTATTTCTGTCACCAAATCTTTGCAATCTTTACGTGTACTCTGGGTGCACACACATGTCCGAAGTACCTGTGGTCTCCCTCTTTAAGCAAATCAGAATTATTTGGCCCTATTCATGGCTATGCCTTTGCTCAAGCAATCCAAATTCAATTAGGTTGAGGTTATTTGTGTTTCTGGATCTGAGCCATGTTGTGGCTGGTTTCAAAGATTTATGTTGTGCCTCGTATACCTTTTATTCAGCAGGTTTGTTTTACAATTATATTTAAATTCTGGCTCTGTCACTTATTGTTTGTACTGGGTAAGTTCCTTAACCACAAGATTCCTTCATTTCCTTCTCTATAAAATTGGGATAACAATAGCTCCAGTCTCAAAGGGTTGCTGTCGGGATTAAATGTGTTACCATGTGCAAGTCCTTAGGAGAGATTTCTCGGGCCTGTGTAGGCGCTGTAGAAGCCTGGTGGTGGTGGCTGCTTTGCCACCACTGTCACTGGTATTTTACTCTTGACGACATCAAGTCAGATCCAACGCACAGCCATGGGGCAAGTCAAAGAAGCTAGAAACATGCTAGTGGCAGGGCGAAGTTATCTGGTGATTTAAAACGTGCCTGGATAATTCACTGGCAGTAAATAAGAATATACGTAGAGTCAACTAGAGCTGGGGCTGCTTTTTGATAAAGTGGGATGGTGGAGTCGAGTGGAAAGATGGCGGGCTTTCACGTCAGACAGACTTGGGCCTGGACTGAGGCTCTGCCAATGACCAGTTGTTGACCTTGCGTAAGTGAGGAAACCTCTTTGTACCTCTCCTTAACTGTGGGCCAAATGGTGATAATAACACCCAACCTGCAGTGTTGTTGAAACAGTTAGAAATAACATGCTAAAGGCACCCTGTACGTAGTGGGTGCTACGTAAATCGTAGTTCTTATTATTTTAAAAAAAGCCTATTGAATATTTTCAACAACTCATGTCCAGATTGGAATTATTTGAGGCATGCCTTGGTGGAGTTTTGTTAATGTGTGGTCTGTATCTTTTTTGACAGTTATATGCTCTTGATGGTTTTCTTTTTATAGCCTTTATCTATTGTAAACATAACTAATCAAGTAAATGACTTTTTCAGTGATTTAAATGGGTAAATCATATTTTAAAATTAAGATGAAATAATTTAAGATTAATTTAAGGACTTCATCTACCGTGCTATGGTTCTTGCCATTTTATATGAAAGAATATTATGAACTGATATTATTCATGGGAATGAGGGTAGGAGCATGGAAAAAAGACTTACCTAAAAACCTGTGCAAAGTCACCATGTCTAACTTGAAATGGTGAATGAGGCCATGGGTGTTGAAGAGGTGGCACAGCAGTGTTACCAGGCTGTTTCCTACAGGAGAACACATCTGTTTCAATTCATGTTCATCACAATTAAAATATCAAGATTGACAATGAGATCCAAAGTTTCTGTAATGACGTTTCTCTGATAGGATCATTTGTTTTCCCCTTTAGATTAGAAATTATTCAAGTATGAAGGATGTTAGTACTATGATCTGGTCCTAGGTTTTTTCTTAGTGTACAAGTAAAATTAGCTCAGACTTTCTCCCTCCACCAAAGGCAATGAAAACTTTACGAATTAGAAGGAGCCTGCCCACTGAGGTATCAGGGACACACGTGTGTGTGTGTGTGTACTTTTAAAGATACAGTTTAATGGTCCCTTGAAATGTGCCCTAAGTTGCTTCCAATTGATCTTACATTTATAGGGGTATCTAAGCTACCACATTGCTTAATATCACAGCCTATTCTTTTCCTAGAGAAAAATCACTTCAGATGAGATTTGACCATGAAATATTTTATAACTCAAGCCAGCAGAAATAAAAAATCAAAGCTGTTATAACTTGTAAGCATTCAGGAAATATTGTCTATTAAAGAATAATGATTTTGAGTTTTAAGAGCATTAACAGTTTGTGAAAGACTTTGAAATGGACCAAGAAGATGACTGAATGTCTTGGATGGAAAACTAGGTGTTACCTAAGCACATTTTTCCATGGTACCTGGTTCTATGTGTCTCTGCAACTTCCATGGTCTTTGAGCTATTTCACAACAAAGTTGCAGATAACTGATAGCGTTGCAGGGGATTCTTGTCCATACACACATTGTATGACATTTGTCCTGACGTTTCTTGTCAGGTGGAAATACAACTGATTTCCCCCTCCCAGTTTGCAGTTATTTATAAATTCATTTCAGCATTTTTTACTGCTTATATATGTGTGGCTCTTTGAATTCTCCTTTGAACTAGTTATAGCATCTTACTGGATCTCTAATTAATTGAGTTAAATAAAATCTTTGGTACGTGCTCATTTCATATTTCTACAAGAGTCCTGATTATACTTTCTTTTTAACAAATACCATTGAACATGTCCTTTTGTTCACGGTTAATTTCATTTACTGATGCTCATTTCTCAGTTGATTTGAGCAAACTGAAATACAAGATTATGGGATCCATCCTGATGTGGTCTTACTGGCTTTCCTCAGTGTAAAGCTTGGTTTCATGGTCTTAGGCTGCATCTCCCTCTATACGTTGTTTGTCAGGTAATAGAATGGTGAGAAAACCATCTGTGATGACTTGCAGCACGAGCCTGGTAGATGGTGGGATGGGACCTACAAAGATCAGCATTCAATGTAATGTCTTTCATTGGCTCCCTAAGCTTATCAGTATTTGTTTAATGGATAGATGAAAATATAATGGGATTTTATTGTTTTCTTAAGGAAAGTCTTTATATGCACAAAGATTTGGTTTCACAAAAGTGAAACCAATGGGACTGTCTACTTCTCCCTTTGGCTGCAGCCTAAACTTTCATACACTATCATCAGCAATTGCTTTCTTCCGATGATGCCAAACATATCTGAATAATGCCTGCGTCGGGGCAGATTCTGCTCACTGAACGAGAGAGCACGAATGCCTGCCCTGTGAGTCAGGACTGATCAGATGAGCTGTTGTGTTTCTAGTTTTCTTCGACTAACAATGAACTTCCTCCTTTTGGATGTGGCCAAAGCATTCTGCAAGGAAAGAATCCCATCCAAATTCCAAATTTCTTTGGAATCATTACGGCCAGAAGGAAATTGTCTTAAGATTCTAAGGCCAAATTCAGTCCTCATTCTTCACTGAGTTAACTTTCCCTCACCCTGGTCCTTCTTGAGCCGCTGTAGACTTATAACAGTGGGGAAAGAAGGAAAAGAGAATGACGGTGTTGAAAAACAAATTTTGTTTTCATGAAATTAATCTCACTTCATGGCATCTATTTCAGTGAGAAATCTTTTGGGTAACTTACCATTTGTCAAGCGATCAAACAGGAAAATGTCAAAATCCCACATTCCCACTTTGGAGAGCATGTGCTGAAAAGACAGACAAAACACAGCACTCGAATGAATCATGTTGGAGTAGCAAACATTTACTCTGAGAAGGAGTGAATCAAACAATTAAAAAGTTGAAAACAGTAGCACGCTACAGTGTTACATACAACTGGTTTGTAGTAAAACAAATCCTACTGGACTTGCCAATAGCAACAGTGTTAAAGGGACAGGCTCCGGAATTGGACTGCCTGGTTCCATGTCAGCCACATCTCTTACTGGCTGTGGGACCTCGGGCAAGTTCTTTAACCTCTCTGTACCTCAGTTTCCTATTTGAAAAATGTGGCTGATAATCTTATCTATGGCAGAGGGTGGTTGTGAGGATTAAATGAGGTAATATACACAGAGGGCTTAGAACACTGCTTGTGCAGAGTAAGCACACACACGTTAGAGATCTGTTACAACTGTAGTTCAGTAGAGTCTCCACATCACAAACTCCTGTACACTTAAGGGAGAAGGTTTACAGCAAGTTTTAAAAAAATGAAGTTAAAGTGATTGCTGAGCACATTACTCTGCTCAGTGTGGACTAACGTGGAATTAACCACTGTACCAGACAGGAATGGAAGGCAGGCAATTGAAAATATTGAGTAATTTAAAGACCTGCTGTCCCATAGAGGCTTATTATCCTATTTTTCTTCTTTAAAACACCCCGTGCTTAGAATTAGATGCTGTTAACTCTTAGACGCAAAGCTGCACTTGCTGATCCTATCCTCGCTGTAGCTCCTCTCACAGCCACGGCTTCCGGTAAGGAAGGACCAGAACGGCTTCCCTGGGTCTTGTGATAAAATCCAAAGGCCTCGTCATGGCACACAAGGACCTTCACAAGAGCATCGGAAAAATGAAGGGATCATGGGTTATTTGTGAGGTCTAGATAGACGGAGCATTTTACCCAAGTCGTAAATCCTAAAGGCAGAGTCAGGACTCTGATACCCGGACGTCTGGCCTGCTGTTCTGTCTACAGCTCAACAGCGCCTTTCTCGAGAGGTGGCTGCTTCTAGGGAAGGCCCCTCCGAGAGGGCTCTGTCATTGACGCTCCAGTGCTGGGAGCTTCGTCTGGCTCTCCTCTCACCAACCAACCAATCAACCAACCAACCAACCAACCACCAACAAACCCAACGTTCACTCCATCTCAGGCTTTGGGTTGTTAGAAGGAGTGACTTTTTTTCCCTTTTGTAGACCTAATGTTGGGAATTAGTTCTTCTGACATTACTTGCTGCTTATTTCTTAATAGTATATATTTCTTAATAGTACACAGGTAGCATAATATTACTTAGCATGTAAACTACAAGATACTACTTTTGACTTCTGTTTAAACCCAGGCAGTTTATTCCTGAAATTTGAATTCCTTTGGCAATGTGGGCTAGAGACAATTTGTGAACATTTTTTAGATTGTCACACATTAATTTCTATCCTCAGTTGGATCAATGCTTTGCAAAAATATTTTGCATTGAACGAATTAAATTATTTGAACGAATTAAAAGTTATAAAAAGGACAATGCATCATATTGATAGCTTAAACTACAATTAAGAGTTGATAATTATTGGGTTAATTTCAGTGTAGATATTACAATGAGATAATTTAAGGGGTTAAAAAATTTAGTTATTCTCTCATTGGAAGTCAATCAGTCCAAAATTTTACTTAGTGTTGTGCAACTATGTTTTGCACATTTATAAAAATGAAAATGGCTAGCATGTGCTAGGCATGAATATTTTGAGCATGTAAACACACTTTACCTCATTTAACCTCTGCATCACCCCTATGAGGTGGGTGTTTCTACTAACGTCATTTTATACATGAGGAAAAAGTCCAGACATGTTGAATAACTAGCCAGAGGCACAGGGCTCCCCAGTGACAGAAGTAGGTCTCAAACCTGGGTGCCATCAGTGGAGGCACATGCACCCAGCCACTAGCACACAGTGAGGTGACAGGAGGGTAACCAGCTCACCCTGGCTTGTCCAAGGTAGTCTTCATCCAGCAGGTGGAGAGGGGCTTGGGGTATAATTCCACGAAGCAGCCTCGATGCATGGAAGTATCTTTGAAAGCTTAACAGTCTTTTCACCTTTTTCTTGGTGCCGATTTCCCCTGAGTGTGTTGTATCTGTGGAAAGTAATAAAATTCAGAAGTTATATATTTAAAAATCCCTATTTTCTCCACTATGTAAAAATACAGTGTATTACAAAGGAGAGAAGTTCAAAAGATGCTCTCAATGCTTTCTTTCTTTTTTTTTTTTTGTGAGGAAGATTGGCACTGAGCTAACACCTGTTGCCAATCTTTCTTTATTTTGTATGGGGGTCGCCACCACAGCATGGCTTGATGAGTGGTGTATGTCCATGCCCAGGATCTGAACCTGTGAACGCAGGCTGCTGAAGCGGAGGCCCGAGCTGAACTTAATCACTAGGCCACCAGGCTGGCCCCTCAACGCTTTCTTAAATACAGTCCCTTTAACTCTACATTTGAAATTCTTCTAGAATAAAAATGATGTTTCTTATTTATTACGTTCATTAAAATGTCAAGATATTTCTGAATGTAATTTTGGAAGACATGAAATATATGAATTAAAAACTTCATTTCCTTAATGATGCTGGTATGCTTGGTAAGTGAAATGCACATACTCCTGCATGGATTTGCAAGGAACAGTTATGCTTTTTTCAGTGATGTTGGAAGTGAGATTCCATAATGTAGACCAGGTTCTCATCCTAAACTCTCTCTAGCCTGATCAAATCCTTCACCTGAGTCAGAAGAGTTGAGAATACACTTGCTTAGACATAAGGAAGTGTTTCCTAATGTCCCAGGAACGTCAGTAGCAAAGGAATTAATAGTCTTGGTACAAAAGTGACCTAGACTCCCCGCAGCAAGAAGAGAAGGTGTCCACTTGCTAATGGGGTGTCTTCTCTTTTACTGGTGGACACAACAGTCTGAGCCTGTTGGTAGAGACATTTTAATATTCATGTCACGTGTGCCTTTTAAAACTTGACTATTGACGTCATGGTGATTGTCCAGACATGCCTCAGGCACATTATCTGAATGTCTGTCAAGGTATGTCTTAACTCAGTTGAAATTCTGTGACTCACTCCAGGGCCACATAAGTGACGTTTGCTGCCAATTGTGGATCTGGAGTCAGTTGAAGAGTCTAGTAGGAAAACGTACAGTTTATATATTAAGAAATTCTGGTTTCTTTCATGCCTCCTCCCATCTCCCCTCTTTCTCTATGGAACTCAAAATCACAATGGATACCAGAAGCAGAGGAAGCAGTGGGCAGGACCTCCTGAGCAATGTGGCACTCCCCAGTGGCAGCGAATGACCAAACCAATTCTTACTTAGGTTGCATTATGCATGCAAAGGCTTCATTCAGGGCAGGCAAAACTTACTCTGGAAATGCTGGCTGATTAAAGTTATTTTTATTTTAAAGTAGGTCTAGATTTCCTGCATGGAGAGAGGCATACAGGTGCACATGGAGAGAGGAGTACAACTGAGGTGGGCGTTCAGGCGCACGTCAATATTAAAGATGGTGCGTGTGGACTCAGCCCTACTGTGGGTTCTCACTCGTCTCTATCAGTTTATCAAAACAAAGTACAGGATAAAGTGGTTCATTCATTTATTAAAAAATATTCTGAGAGTTACTAAGAGACAAGCACTGTTCTAGATGCTTGGTGAGATCCTTCAGTTCTAGATCCTTCAGTTCTAGATCCTTCAGTGAGCAAACGGATCTTACATTCTAGCAGAGATAGACAATAGACATGAAACACAAAAAATAAGTAATTTATAAAAATGTGGTAGCAGGTGGTAAGTGCGATGGGGAAGAAAGGAAAGCAGAGGATGAGGGATCAGGAGTTCTGTGTGGGGTGGTCAGGGCTGGCCTCACAAGATGGCGCAATTTGACTGAAACGTGAAGGAGGTGATATCTGTGGAAATGCCTTCCATACACAGGGATGGGCTGGAATAGCCCCAGAGTGAGAGTGTGGCTGGCGTGCTAGCACAGGGGACGAGCAGCGGGAATTCCCTGTGGACGTGGAGGAGAGAAAAAGGGAGGAGTAAGAGACGAAGTCTTGGAGCAAAGGGGGCATGAGAATTACACAGGGCCCTGCAGGCCATTGTGACCGCTTGGGCTCTGCTCTGGGTGAAATGCGGAAGCACTGCAAAGTTCTGAGCAGAAGAGGGATATGATCACACTTGTATTGAAAAAGGCTCATCCTGGCTTCTGTGTTGAGAACAGACTGTAGGAGCTTTGATGCATTGAGACTGGTTCTGAGGCTCCTAAAAGAATCCAGGCCAGATGTGATGGCTGCTCAGACCAGCGGGGAGTAGAATGGAGGAGTAGAATGGAGGGATTCTGAATAGTTTGGGGTGCCTCCAAGTTTTGGGCCTGAATAACTGGAGAATGGAGCTGCCATCATTTGAGATGGGGAAGGCTGCAGGTGGAACAGGTGTGGGGTGGATTTCAGTTTTGTATACGTTGAATTTGCATGTCTACTGGAAAATCAGGTGAAGGTGTCAAGTAGAAATAAGTGGATATAAAATCCAGAGCTTGGAGGAGAAGACTGGGTTAGAGATACAAATTTGGGAGTTGTCAGATGAGATTACCTAGGAGTGAATGTAGATACAGATGAGAAAAGCATCAGTGTCTGAGTTCTGGAGTACTTCAGCTCTAAAGGGTGTGGAGAAGAGTAGAGAAAATCAACGGACACTGAGAGGGAGTGTCCCGTGGGGGTGGAGGAATACTGAGAGCATCGTTTCCTGGAAGCCTAGTGAAGATGGCATTGCAGGGAGGAAGGTGTGACCGTCACTGTCAAGTGCTGCTGACTGATCAAGCACAATGAAGACGGAGAATTGACCAGGGGCGTAGAAATCTGTCAAAATTCATTGAACTATGCACTTAGAACAGCACATCTTATTGTATGCCTAGAAGCAACAACACCCTAGTAGCAACGAGCACATCCAGCACCCAGATTTTGTTTTTGAAATACTTCTTTTCACTAAAAGGAGAAATGGCTGAGTCTAGGACTGGGGCAGGCAAAGTATAAGATGAATGGTAACATCTTGTTACTCCAGAAAATAAGGGAGAGCTTGAAAAACGATGGGCTCCTTTGCAAATGACAGAGGAGACAACTTGAAGGGGGTCCTTGTGAGCAAATGTGGGAAAATTTGAGCATCAAAATGAATAGTCGAAGAATGGATTATAAACCATTGACTGGATGAAGAATCCACAAGGTCATACCAACAGTAAGCAAACAAGTAAATAAATAAGGAGAAAGGAAATCTCTTCCATGCAGAGAGAGCCAACTGATAATGTAGAAAAAATAATAGAATTAGAAAATTTCCATTTTGCAAGCTTTGTGGTAATAACTGATTCGGGCCAGAATCATCAATGGATACTAAAATCATTAAGTGGAAGTTTAAAAAGCAACAGGATAATTATGTAGTATCAAAGGATCTCCCCACAGAAGACTTATTAATTGGAAAACAAAAAATGGGTAGTTTTTTTTTAGTGGATAAATGTAGAGGGGGACCATCTTCCCTAAGTAATCAAAGTTAACATCACCAACAATGGGAGAAACCGACACGATGCGCTTCTGATGTAACGCACCGAGGACACAGCATGGCCTGTGGAGTGTCCCTGCCCCAAACGCACTTCCGACCCCGGTAAAGAGGAAACGTCAGAAAAACCCAAGTTGAAGGATACTCCACCAAACGATCAGGACTCTTAAATGGCAGTGTCACGAAACACAAAGCCTCTGGCGTTGTTTCATAGTAAGGAAGCCGGATAGAGTGTGATAAGGCGGTGTATGACCCTGTACTGTATCCCAATCAGAAAAAAATGCCCATAAATGGCATTATCAGGATAGTTTGGTGAAGTGTAGATATGGACTTCTAGATGAGATAATAGTATTCTACCTATAAATTTCTTGAATTTGATAATTGAAGTGTGGTTACACAAAATAATGCCCTTGTTCTTAGGAAATACACGCTGAAATATTTAGGACTGAGGGGCATGATGTGTACAACAGATCTTCAAGTTGTGAAGAAAAAAACAGATCGTGGTCAGGCAAATGCGGCAGAATATAACAGCTGGTGCACCTGGGTAAAGGGCATGTGAATTTCTCTGTTCTATTCTTGCAATTTCTCTAAAAATGTGAGATTATTTTATAATAAAGAGTTGAAGAAGGGACAGAGAAAATGGAAAGGGAGAAATCAGAGGCCAGAACATCAGGTATAGATGACTCTTGAGTTTTACTACGTAGGGAAGCAAAGAAAAGCAGTGGTAGTTCCGTACAGAACTACATAGAATGAAATCAATAGCTGCAATAAATAAGTGCAATCAATCATGCCTGTGTTATGTATGAGGCAAATCTAAAAGGAAATATCCATACAATGACCCATTCCTTTTTTTATATTCTGTGAAAATTTCCCCATTCTAAATACTAGAAGAAATTCTCCTCTGTAGCTGAGTATGCCAGTATTTACATAATGGAATCAGAAGCAAACCAGATAAGACTGCATGATGGAAATTTGCCACAAACAGAGCAAATTGAGATTATGGATTATTTCTTTTTAAACTTCCATTCAGTTTTCCAAATGGTGTACTACTTTAAGCAGATTCATAGTTAAGATAATGACACTTAAGTACAGACAGTAAATCTAGATGATAGGGAACAATGGTTTCTATTCACTAAAATTACCATTGCTACTAAAATATTACTAATCTAATGATGCCATGAGCTGAGATGTCAAGTTTAGGTCTATTTTTGTGCTTAAACCAAAGAAGAAAACAGAAGATTCTCCCCGTCCCCACTTATTTTTCACCCTGTAGTCAAACAGACAACAGTCCACCAACAGGACAGAACGTAGGTCTCTGTTGATATTTATTTACATTTTTGATATTTTTTGGCCTTCACTTTTGCTTAAAGAATATGACATTAAAATAAGATATATCTTGATTACGGGGTTGTTGGCACCCTCTTAAATTCTGAGCCTGAGATATGTGCTTCACTCCTCTTACCCTGGTTCCTGCCCGGGCACGTCTTTGGAGCATAAGCTCAGATAATGCAAAAATATTCAATAGTAAAATAAATCTGGCCAATAAAACCTTCTCAGAGTTA